ATATTTGATTAAAAAATAAAAATTTAATTAAAAACATTTGACAAAAAAAATATTTTTTTAAATTTTGTTTAGTGGAAAAAAATTTTTTTTAATTATTTAAAGCTTAATGAATGGTCTGTTTTTATAAGTGACTTTTTATTGTTTAACCTTTAGTAATAATATTGAGAAATATATTTTTCTTTGATTAAATTCACATGAAAAATACATTAACATAGCTAAATTAAAAATAATTATTTCAATATAATTAGACTCGAGTAATTGCCCAATATTTTGTATTTTTGGGTACAAAATTATTTACTTTTCATCAGAGCTGTTTCCAAATTTCGATTTTCGAATTTTTGAAAAATTTGAATTTTTGGCGTCAAAAAGGAAAATGCTTATCATATCTTCAAATATGATAAGCATTACAGTGGATATAATGATATTCATAGGGATTAAGGGGATTTAAATCTCTCCTAATCTTCCGACCCCAGAATCTGTCAACCTTCTTCCTAAGAGTACAAGCAAAATTTCCAACTGAATGGCCTGTTTTTATAAGTAATTTTTATTGCTTAACATTTAATTGAGAAATATTTTCCTTCGATTAAATTCACATGAAAAATAGATTACTAACTCAAATTAAAAACAATTATTTTAAAATAATTAGTTTTGAGTTTTGCCAAATATTTTGCACTTTTTGTTTACAAAATTATGCCCTTTTCATATGATGTAATTTTATGATTGCGGCACGACTTTCATTTCTTTTATTTTTAAATAAAAATGATTAAACTTTAAGTTTAAATGGATTTAACTATGACCTTATATTTTTTAAAATATAGTTCTAACTAAAAGTATTGGAATTGTTAAATGTTAACTTGATTATGTTTTTGCTTAGAACAGAAAAACAATTATTTAAAAAACGTCTGATCTATAGACGTTTCCTCAGAAGCGTTATTCCTGATTGGATATGAATTTTGCTGCATTGGCGAGGGGTTTTTAATATTACTGCAAACTTGTGTAAAGCATATAGCTATTTAATTTCCTAAGGCTGAGCAGTAGGCGGCGTGGTGTATTAGCTAACACATCAGTCCGGTCCACTGAAGATGCTGGTTCACTCCCAGCCGCCGAATAACCTTTTGCACTAGCTAAAGGAGAGAAATAGCTATAGCCCAGCTGCTTTACTATTGCGAGCACTAAAAAATTTTTTAAGTCCGTGATTAGAATTAAAAACACAGAAATTTTAGGCAGGTTCCTGAGATTAGAGAGGTTCCAGAAATTGTGTATAAAATGACAGGAGGACTATGCTCTCATATAGACGGGTAGTTCATTAACTTGAGGGGGGTATGGCTCCGGAAACTTGTAGCCTCTGAATTTGCTCAGTTTTCACTGCCCGGATCCGAATCCAGAGGTTTTCTTTGCTTCAATCTTTTTTGTTTAATTAGCCACACCAAAAGAAATATCATTTTATGTATTAATGATCTTACTTATTTAAATGATCATATTTTTTCAACACCTCCAACCTGTTCATTAAAAATAGATCATGAAAAAAAATAAAACGGAACAGTAAACACCAGCAATAACAACATTATTCTATCATATTATTTATGAAAAATTTAGATAAAAATTTAAAATTAATGAAAATGGGTAAGGAAAATATTTTATAAAAATTTTTTATTCAATCGCATAATATGAGCTTTCTGAAATTGCTAACTGAAAAAAGAAGAATAATTATTTTTTAATTATTTTTACCATAATTTTCGAAAACATTTTTTGTTTGTTAGAATAAGCAGGCAAGTCTAAACGATTAAAACATGTATGGGCGCGAGGGAGACTTTCCTAAATAAAAATTCTTTGATTTTTATTTTCTATCAAATTTTCAAACTTCCTCTCCCCAACGTTCAATACAAAAGGGTTTTAGCCCATTTGAACCTCTCAATCCTTTAAACCCTTCAAAGGGAACACTGGCACTTCCAGTTACAAATTGTAAAAGTTTAAGTCTGTCAGCATTACACATTTGTCTAACACATTGCCAAAACCAACGAATAATTACCTGAAAATTAAAAATAATTTGAAATCATAAATTGTGTAATTTTTTTAAACTCGAAAAGTCGCTATGTTCCCCTTGATTTATGAAATTTCAGGGGTTCTTATATTTAAATCTGTCAGCATTACAATGCCCTTCCGCATTATTAGAAACTGAAGACAGAAGGCGTAAGAAAACGAATGAAAATAAAAACTGAAGTCGAAAGACGAGGGATAAATAAGCGGGAGTTGGATGAGGACGAAGGCGATCCTATCCCTGATATGCTGTATTTACATACCGTATTTTCTCTAAAATAACCGATGGGGCTATTTTTTCGATCAATCTCTAGAGGGGGGCTATTTTAGAGGGTGGGGCTATTTTTTTCGATGTCTAAATTTTCTAAAACTAAAATTCATTACCAAGCTTTGAGGTAATAAATCAGAAGCTTTATACCAAGCTTCTGAAAAACGGAAAAGAGTAAAGTCTGATTTTGATTTAAAAAATTTTTTTAATTACATGATTTTCTCTATATCCTCCTTTATAAACAGTATTTTTCTCCCAATCCTCAATATCAATAAAAATATTTCCAGAAATTGCAAATTCCAACTGTTCAGCGTCAAAAACAGTTAACAATGATTGGTCAATTACCTAAAAATTATTTTTAAAAATTTTCAAAAAATTTTTCTGACCGCGTTTAATCCAAATAGGAGAGCTTTTAATTGTTCTCGAATACCCCTTTCAACACTTAAATGTTTTAATTTCAAAATTAATTAAAATAAATTAACCGCCATAAAATAATTAATTCAATAAATTTCTTTTTGTTTTCATTATTTACAGATATATTTTTGCCGTTTGAAAGTAATTCGAAATCCGAGATCTTAAAAAATTATTAAAATTTTTAAAGGCGTATAAAGATTAAAATTGATTTTTTAAACAAAATTTAGGCTTAAATCGGTAATAAAAATAAAATTTAAAGACAGGTCAGGTTTACTTCAAGTATGGTTGATATGGCGAAAACCCTACTTTTGAGAGCTACCCCAATGCTATTCAAACTTTTGCTTTATTCTTGGATTATTTTTTACTTAATTTAAAATAGGATTTACTCTTGAAACTTAACTTATTGCCAACTTAGCCCAATAAATTACTCTTGCTTTACTCTTGAAAATAATTAGTATAAATTTATTTCCGAGAGTGAAAAGAAGTTGAAGTTTAATAATGTTAAGAATTATCCTCAACCTCGTCTCCTCCGATAAAATAAATTTTAAGGGTTAAACAAAATATTTATTAAGTCTAAAAAAGTTCTCTGATTGAAAATAAAATTTATTTTTCAAAAAACTTCAAGAAAAAATTTTTTTTATTAAAATTAAATTACATACTTCTCCAGCTACTTCTTCAGTTACACAAAAATTTAATTCTAAATTTTCAACATTTACAGAATTTTTGTTTATCCAATTGAGAGAATTAAATAATTCATTATCCGTTTCTAAAAGATCATTTAATTCTAAATGGCTAAAAAATTTAAAAAAAATTTTATTTTTAAATAAACAAAAAAAACATTTTTGCCAAAATTTTATAAAAAGGTTTTGTAAAGAAACAATCCAAAAGGCAACGATGCTTTAAAAATTAAAAAAAAATTTTTTTGAAAAACGTTGAAATTTTTTAAATACCAATAAAGCTAATCCCAACACTCTGCCACATAATTCCATCCAACTAAGATAATTATCAATAAATTTGGACATTGGACTAATCTATATTAAAGTGATATTTTTTAATTTAAATAATATTAAGATTTAATTTTTAAAATTTTTTAAAGCCTAAAATTTCTTCTTTTTTTGAGCGAAAATTAGAAAAATTTTACTCAAGAAAATCTGTAGTAGCTACTTGTACATACTCAATTGAAATGAAAAATATGTTTACGTAAAACTGAAGTAATACATAAAATTGGAGGTATAGCTTATGTTTATCTTCCCATAGAAGTTAAATCCAGTAGCCAATCAACTTACAAATTAGATGAACGTATGTACATTAGAGAATGTACATAAATTTTGTACGTACATTAGAAAACCGCCTGCTCAAATAGTTAGACTTTGAATCTTTCGAAGATAATTAATTAAGTGTAGGGGTGTCGGTTCCTGGAAATTCTTCGGATATCCGAAACCGAACCGAAGAATCCTCGGTTCTTCAGTTCGGTTCGGTCCAGAAGCGACAACTCTAACTGAGAGATTTAAGATATACGGTAAATATTAATCACCTCAGTTTCAGCAAATTCATTTTTTCATTTTTACACGGAAAAAGCTACAAAAAAGTTCCGTTTTTAAACCCGGTTTACCAATATTAGATAAAAATTATTTAGCTATTTAAATAATTTATTTACTTGTATTCTATTAGAATTAATACTAGTATATTCAAAAAGACCATTTTTAGGATTAAAAAGCTGTTTTGATAAAAGGAAAAATAATTCTTTTGAAGGGCCCCCATAATCTAAACAATCCTCATCTGCAAAATTTACCTAAAAATCTAAATAAAAATTTAAAAAATTAATTATCAACCATTAATTGATATGTTCGTAATTTTGTTGGACTTAAATATAAAATTTTTTGGAAAGCATCTTCCATTAGATTATCTCTTCTTAAACGAAACCTAGAAAATTTTAAATAAATTAACTTTCTTTCAATGAATACTCTCGGAAAATTTTATTAACGTAACTCAGGATAGGTATATTAGACGTGATCAAGCTCATCAACGCGTATCTCGTTGACTTAAATTAAAAAAATACATACTGAAACATATCAAAAGCGATATAAATTAAGCTTTTCGAGTGATATAGAAAAAATGTGGATTAGTAAAATTTTAATCGTCAAACAATGCCTAAGATCTACCCCAATACAGGGCTGCACGCAATTGCGGATTGCGGCAGCGGATTTTAAATTTAAAATCGCGGGTTGCTGATTCGCCCGCTAACTAAGTCTCCCGCTAACTAACTTTTTCAGATACCCCGCTAACTAACTAATAACCACAATAAATTAAAAAGCGACCTCAATCTGTTTTGGCTTTTTGCATAACCCAATTGTTTCAGCTTTTCATGAAAACTTTCAATAATTTTCAAAAATCTTTCATTCAAATTTTTTTCATTATTTTCATTTTGCTGTGCTTCTTCATTATTTTTCAATATTTTATCATTCAATTGATCTAATAGACTTAATGCTCTAGCTACGTCAACATCGTTAGTATAGCGCAGCAATGCTGTATCTCCCAAATTAGCGATTAATCGAAGCTTGGTTTTTATCTATAACAATTATTTTTGAGGGGTTTTTAGAGTTATAGTTAGGTTATAAAAAAATTTTTCAAAATTTTTATTAACTTTTTGAGCCATTTGAGGATTGTAATGCTCATTCAATACTTTTTCAAGTTGGCCTAAAACATTTACATCAAGGGACAACCGATCATTATTTATTTGTTGGTAACGTCTTTGATTTTGTATTCTCGGGGAATTTGTTATATTGTTGCCAAAAAAGGGTGTTGAGGTTGTATTTTTACTGTATATTATAAGATTATTAACTAAATTAAATATATTTAGTGGGATCTCATTTTTAATTAAACCCCTGGGACAAAAAAAATTGTATCTTATAGAGGCTTAAACAAGCTTCCCCATTCAATCCAAACAAATTTAGTTACATTATCTCAAATTGAGGTGCCTCTATCAGAGGTCGTTTGGCCTTCCAATTTCTGAAAATCTTCAATGATTTCCGATTTCCGCACCTTCGTTATTCCTGACTGGCCCCTGGTCCTATTATCGAATTTATTTTTCTGGTGTACCTACTTTAACCGTCGCAAGGGAGGCGCACTTTGACAGGAATTTGGTTTTTCTTGTTCACTAGTTCTCTTATTATTTAAACAAATAAATGCCAGTCTGGGATCAAACGGGGTAATATTCTTTCCAATGTGGTCCACAAAAAGTATTTGAGGCATTGAACTATTTGTTTGTTTAGTTAATTGCCATCCAGCAGGTAAGGGTTGTGTTCGATCAGTGAATGAGTTGATGAAACTTGAAAATTAAATATTGAAGAATTGAGTCTATATTGGCAGATTTTGAGTTAGCTTTTACGAATTTTGTTATAATTGTTGCAATCCCGGTGAGAATAAAAAAAGCTAGCGATGTATTAGCTGGTATCCTTTACCCAAAAGTGCGTCGAGTTCTGAATATTAAAGGAATGATCAAAATCTGAAGCGTGTCTGAGTCTATCAAAATTCTATACGTTCGTGCCCGAGTTATCTCGATTTGCTCTACTCCCCATTACCTTATATTTCCTCTCAAAAATTAGAAAAACTTACTTTACTAATTCTCTATTTTGTTCAAATTGAGAGAATTTTTCTGGCTCTCGACGTATTCTCTGTATAATATGTTTTAAAATACGGCTTTCATTATACAATTCATAAGCAAACTTGGAAAAATAAAAAAATATAAATTTTAACAAAATAAAAATATTTTCTGTTTTCACAAGTTGGGATCTGGATATCTGTATCCGAAAAATTCAATATCGAGATATTCAATATATCTCGATTCTGACTTACATTATTTGAATGTAGCAGGCGGTTAAACAATTCTTTGCTAAGTAAAATATTTAAGGCCATTTGTTTTGGTGTTTGAGGAATAGTTAAATTATTGTTAATATTATTTTTGGAAAATTCCATTGTTTGCCTGATAAAACGATTTTCGTCACAAATATTTTCACAATTTTTATTAAAATATTCAGATTCTTCAAGTGCTTCCAAAATACACTATTTAAAGAATAAATTAAGAATATTTTTAGAAAAAAAATTAAAAATAGGGAGGAGGTATAGGCCACCACACTTGGATGTCAGTCAAGTGGAGGTAAGGTATATAGGGTAACTACGGTAAGTCACTTCCCACAATAAATGTCTGATTATCTGTGCTGAAAGATGACACTATTAGGCAGCCGTAATTTCTATTATGTCTGAATATTGCTAAAATAAAAATTACTGGAGGTGTCCAAGCTGTCTTTTGATGAATGTGGCTATAATTTTGAAAAAGATTTTAATAAAAAAATATAACAATAAACTCAATATAGAAAATTCTTCCTTGTCCATCTACTCGCATTTCCCACCCTTTAGGTAATTTGCTAAAATTATCAGAAGAGGAAGAAGAGGCGGACATTGAATTTGAGGGTGGTGAACTTAAAAAATGAATATTTAAATTGATAGAATCGACCTCACTATAGTGTCACACAAGTTTGTTCGGTAAAAGTCCAGCAAAAATCATTTTTGCTGCATTCTCCTCCCTTGCCTTTATTTTCTTTGATTGGTTGATTTTGCAGAGTGCCTTTTGCGGACATATAGATAGCGAGCTGGACAGATTACCGAGTTGTTCCCCGTCCTCGAAAGTCGAAGATTTATGCAAACTTTCCCCGTCCTCGTTCTCCCTACCCCTTTGACGGGGAACTATCCTAATCACCACACTTGGATATCAGTCAGATTTTTTCTTGTCGAGACGGGACACTATAGAGAGACCCGACAAATAAATTATACTTTGCTAAACACTTTTCCATTTTTGAGTTAATTTTGGTATTATTATTCTTATCAATTGAATAAATACTTGATGAAATAGATGAGGGTTTTTCTAAGGAAGAAGAATAGGATGAAGTTGAATTTAAATAATTTTTATTTAAATTCGAATATCCTAATGTTGTTAATGTTTCTGAAAAAGTAAGATATCAGGTAGTAAATCAGAAAATATGGTGGACTTCATCAACAATGGTTCGCTCGGGTTTAGAGTAGGGTTCAGCGGTATCGGGATCCCGACCGGTATCGGGCGGTATTATACCGGTCTCTTTGAATACCGATACCGTTTTTTCTCGTAATACCGGTACCGCTGAACCCTAGCTTAGAGACATGTTGGGTCGTTTAATATCGAAAAAGGTCTAAGTTTCGAGTAACCCGGCACATTTATTCTGTGCAGACATACAAAATAAGATGCTGGGTTGAGATAAATATTGGGTATCCCCACCGGGCTTTCTAGATAAATTAAATATAGGTATGGAATAGGGATGTGTCCGGTCGAGAAAAAAGTCGGCCAGATTTCGGGTCGGGTTTTCAAAATTTTAATCTGGTTAAGTTTCGGGTATCGGGTAACTCGAGACATCCCTGGTATGGAAATTTTGATGTATTTGAAAAATAAATGACCCAATAGACGTTTGTGCGATTATAAGGATTTAGTTCCGCAACAAACGTGAAAATGTTTTTATTTAAAAAACTTTCAACTATAAAAAACAAAAAAAAAAGCCAAAAATGATTGACAAAAGATGATTGACATCAAAAAAATATTTTTAAACATACCAACAAGTGGTTGCTTTACCGGAGGGATAAGTTTGCACTTCACCACCATTTTTTGAAAATGGGGACGTAGTAAAAAGGCAAAATGATGGCTAAACAAGATATTTTTATTTAAATTTTGATAAAAAATATTTTTTTAACATTCGTTTGATTTAAATAAAATAATGGAAAAAATTTAAAAAATTTATTTGAAATCCAGGCAAAATTTTTATGAAAATTTTAAATAAAAATACCAATTTCCATCAACAGAAGTTCGTTCTAACATTTCAAGCTATATAAAAATAACAAATACTATTGTAAAAAATACAGTAGAATCTCACTCAGTCTAACCCCATTTCTGGCAGAAAAAATTGTCTTATAATGAGGTGTTCTTTAAATTGGGAGTATCTTTTAGGCAGCTCCCCTTACCTATAGTAATAGCCATCAAAGTTTAAATAACCGTATCTCAACTTAAAGTTATCTCGTACCTAGATAACTTTAACCCTCTTGAATTGAAAATCGTTTTCAAAAAACGAAAGGTTGTAGACAAAACGCGAAACTGGCAAACATATGGTACAACGAAAGCTAGGTATATAGGATTGAGGGTATCGCCTAGAGAGCTTCCCCATCATCTAACCAAATAAATTCAAAAAATGTACATATTAAAAAATTAAACTGTGTTGTGTGTGCCTTATAAAGAGGTTCGACTGTATATTTTTTAAATTTCCAACTTAAAAATAATTACGGTAGGAATATTAGCTTCTCCAATCAAGTTTCGACTGCTCCTTCTAGGTGCCCAAAAAAGCTTTGACCCTCCAAAATTAATTTTTAGACGGATTTTAAGTTCAGACGATTTGTCTGCTGGGAAGAGGAAATTCTAACAAAAATTTTCTTTAATTTTTCAAAAATCCTTAGAAAAACCAAATTTTCCCATTTTGCATCCTTTGAATACTCTGTCCGATATATTCTATTATCAGAACCAGAACAACTCAATTTAGCATAAAATAAGTGTTTTTTATTTAAATTATTGTTATTTTTGTCTGTTGGATTATTTAAAAGTTGAATATCTTTTAAAATTAAAATTAAATTAATTTTAAAAAATTAGAAAATTAATTATGTATTTTACCTGTAATAGCTAATTGTGCATCATTATAAACCAGAATGGGTGGGTGATTTGTAATCTTGATGGAATCAGAAATTCCATCAAAATACCTTTTAAATAAATCAGAATCTTTTATAAAATAGTCTAAAATCTTGGTTTTAAAGCCCCTAATTTTAGTTTTGAATTTTGGACCTCGTCTTAAATATTCATCACTTTTAGACAAGATTTTTAAAATTTTATTGCTTACTATTGGTTGGACTGGGGGCCCAGTCCGAAAGATTGAGTCGAGCAGCGAATTTTTGCCAGAAAAATATTCGGTCGGGCCGGTCCGATAAAAATGAAGCCCGAAAAAAATGACTCGAACGTCGGCTCGAAACCTCCAACTCTAATAAAGGGGTTGAAGCATCGGTTTTAGAGGGGTTGTATCAAGGTCTGATTAAAACCGCAATAATAAAAATGAAATTAATTTCAGTGATCAGAATTGATCAGAAAAATAAAGAAAAATTACTTTAATTTAAAAGTCATCTTTTGCTATTTAGAGATTTTTTTTCAGTCTTCCAAAACAATTTTTCAAATTAATTTCTTTAGTAAAAATTTTAAGACCCTCGAAATAATTCAAAAATTAAGATAAATTTAAAAATCCATCCTGCAATTTAATAATTAAATTTTTTAAAAATATTTCTTTTAAACTTCAATAATTTAATTTTGAGGAAATATCCAAAAATAAAAATATATTTAACAAAATGTCAATAAAATTAAAAAGAGAAAGAGCAAAGTTGGACAAACCAAAAATTTTCTTTTTTTAACAAAACAAATCTTTTACTTTTATTTTTTAAAAAAATATAAATCTTTGACAGATGCCCTAAAATGAGTCTTTTGGGAATTGGTAAAAGTAAAATATTGAATAAAAAAGTTATTTTTTTGTTACCGATATTTTTGATTCAAAGTTTTATGAGGCTAATTTTATTTTATTTAATTAACATAACAAATTAAAAACTGTTTTTTAAGGCGAGGCAATAAATAGAGATATAGAAAGATTTTACAAAAGTTCGTCACGGGCAGGATTCAAACCTCGACCTCCTCGTAGTTATTGCTAGGCCTCCTCGTTATTACCTCCTCCTAGGCCTCCTCCTCTCCTCGTATCTTTTATCCTTTTAGATCGTTTAACTCATGCCAGGTGATTCCTCCTTACAATATATAAAAAATGAATAGAAAATGGGATCAGTGTCTAAAACTTTATTTTTAATTGTTTTTTTTTTATCAAATACTTACATATAATTTTATTAAAATAATTTTTAAAAATTGCCACTGAGCATTGACTAAAAATTTTCTTTTTTAATTTCTCCAAATAATTAATGCATGGAACAAACACTGTCCAGATTTTTTGGATTTTAGGTCGTTTTTAAAATGAAGCAGGTAAATCCGTCTGCCCAAATTACCGATATTAAAAATAAATTAAAAATTAATTTTAAATAAAATATAAAAAATTTTTGTTCAAATTTGTTCGATTTCTTTATTATTTCTTAAAAACATCAAAGAAAGTTCAATTTTTTCCTTATTTTTATATTTGCACTTTTAGTCCAATGCTTACTAAAGCTCAATTTCTTACTTGTTAGTCTATACCATTTTGTGCCTATTTAATTTTTAGTCAGCTCTATATATTAAGACCACTTTTTAATAATAAATAAATATTAAAAATTCATAATTGGGGTAATAAATAAACAAAATAACCCTCTTTGCTTACTAACAATATAAAATAGTCATAAATATGGTTGGAGGGCCATGGGTATCTTTGGATACACGAATTCGAAACCGATATCCGAACGAAAAATTTGCTCCTTTTCAGGTCAAATTAAGACAGACCATAATGCGAAAATACTTCTGTTACTATTGTGATATTAAATAAATTATTATTTAGAAATATTATCCCTAAGGGAGTCTTCGGATGTATAAGTGATAGTAAGTTCCAGTTTTGGTAAGCGTGGTAAGTTCCGGTTTCGGTCTTCTACGTATGATTAGACAGTAAATTTTTGTTTTGTTTGATGTTAAGTCTCCTCAATTCTCTTTACTGTTTCACAGTTTCACAAAATTCTTCGGTTAACCAAAACGTAACCGACAAACTGAACTGAAAATCTTCGGTTCAATTTGAAATCTTTAATAGTCTACATTAAAAAATTAATAATATAGTAAATTATTTAATTAGAGGGGCCAGCCCTAATTAAGAGAGATGTTGATTATGCGTGCGATGAATAGAATAGAATTGAATAGAATACCCAGAGGTAGTGCAAGCGAGCGGGGTGAATGATTATTGGTTAACCACTTGGTCAGGCTTATAGCCGACCGAACACTAGGCCATTGATTAATGAAGAACTAAGTTGGAATGAACATCAACTAAGCTGCTTTTCCTTATTTTCCTTTAGTTTAAAACACCTTCTCTCTAGGCGGGGTTTCTATCACTTTCCCAAGAATTACACCTTTAAACTTTTCATAGTTTTCAATAGTTTCTCAAGGATTACACCTTTGATCCTTACAATATGTATTCTTATCATAACTAAATTTAAGATGATAAAAATTGTTATTTCTTTATTCTATTTAATTATTCTGTTGATTATTCAAAGTGAAGCAAAATCAGTTAATGTTCGGGTGAAAATCAAAGATGATTGGGAAGGAGAAAGAGAATTTATTTATTTAAAAAACATTGTACAAACGGAGCGTTTTGTATTGAAAAAAATTGAAAAATGTAATAACCAATATGGCAGTAGCTTTAAGATTAACATAAATGAATATTTGCGTCCAATTAAACTAAACAATAAAAGAAATATTTTCAATGCTGGAATAATAGGTGAATCGAAAGATATTGCACCTGTTCAATTAAAAAAGAAAGTTTTGATCGAAATTGCTAATAGGGAAATTATTCAAAATATATTGCTGGAATTTGAAAATCGGGTATTTCATATTAAGAGAATTTAAATATTTATCCCCATAAATATTCAGTTAAACCCAGTTAAACCTCTCTTTAGTTTAACCTCTCTAAGACTTTAAAAAATTATCCAGATTTTATCCTAATTCCCTTTTAGATTCATGATTTAGTCTGATGGATAGGATAGTAACCTCGCGGTACATTGGAGCGGGACACGCCCAAGTAGGCGCGCTGCCAGGTAGGCGCAAAGCCATAACTAGCTGGAAAATTTCTGGACTTCAACAATTTTGTTACCATCTCTTTAGCTGGATGAGAGGAATCGTTTAATACCAAATTTGGTAATATTCGGAAATCTTAAAGCAAGTTATGGCTTTGCGCCTACCTGGCCACGCGCCTACTTGGGCTGTACCCCATTGGAGCGTACCTTTTATTCGCTCGACTTCTGGGGGGGGGGGGGGGGTGTAGGGTGCAATAAATCCTTTTGAAGTTGAAATCCATCTTTGCAAAAATATTTCTAGTTGCCATGATACATTAAAATGCGGTCGACTAGACTAAATTATCCTTATATTGAACAAATTCTGACATCCTAAGAATTTTAAACTCAGCTTTATGATATAAAGAGGCTTTAACTTTGGCCTTTATATTAACTTAACCCCCCTTAACGCAGCGTTAACTTTGCACTAATTACATAAAAAAGTTAAGGTGCTGTTAAATAATAATTTTATTGAAAAGAAGAATATTTATGAAACCTCTATTTTACACAATAGTTTAAAAGATATAAAAACGAATGAAAAAGAATCCATAAAAGATAATATAGAAAATTATAAAAACGCATTTTTATCAAGTTATTGGACGGAAATTAATTTAATTGGATATAAAATTGAATTGTTAGAAAAACAAAAAGTTGAATATCCGGAAAAATTAAAAATCAGAATTATCTACATTGGCAATAAAATAAGTATAATATAGTTTTTTTAAGCTTAACCTCTTAATTTGACTAAATAAAATAAGATTCCTAATTATTATAGGTGAAATTATTGAAGGAAATAAACGAAGTTGTTTCAATTGTGAAGTTAAACAAACTGCGGATTGGAATAGATACCTGAATGGACAATATTTGTGCCAACGTTGTGACAAATATAAACGAAAGTATGGAAAGCATAGATCGAAGAAACTGTGGTTTTATACTAAAAAGGTTTGTTTCATGGTGTTTATAAGTTAAAACTCGAGAGGTCAACGGGCCCTGGAGGTCAGATAATAACATTTGGGGGATAAAGTGGACCAAGAGTGCACTGATACACGGAAGATTTCCGTCTTCTGTTCCTTAATCCTTCTTAATCCAAAGAAATCCATCTTAATCTTTCCAAATCCAGCTAGTCCCTTATCTCCTTCGCCATTTCCAGTTCAATCATGTTTCGTCAGATGATGAAAAAATAAGATGTAAAGATTATTCTTTTATTCAAGTTTTGTGTTCACACGTCGTGAGCCAAAAATTCAGGCATTATAAATGCGGCACTAAGAAGAGCATGTATATAATATTAAGTTTTTCCTGAAATTTCAAATTTTTGGTGGATTTATTGCATGTGGGATTTAAACTATTTCTTGCAGAAGGTTTAGGGTACAATTTTTAGTTTCGAGAAACAATTCATAATCTCTCTTAATTTATATGATTGATACGAATAAAACAGAGCGGAGACGTTTTATTTAATTTCACTTAAGCATGATCGTCACTGTTATACCTGCGGTAAAGAACAATCATGTAATTGGTACCGACATTCAGAACCTGGAAATTATTTATGTCAGAATTGTTATAATAGACAAGGTAGAATGAAAAAAAAATAAAATTTCAAAGCAAACTATAAACTACTACATATATCTGAAAATTATAAACACCCCCTAATTTTTGAATAAAAACATCTCATCATGGAAATCTCAATTACAATAGACAAATTTATCCAAATCAATAGACAAATTTACCGGAACTTTTTTGTTTATAAGGGGTGCTTATAATTATCAGACGCCCGTTTTTCGTGAAATTTTGTTTATTTTCCATACTAAACATAGTTTATTTATCACTGCTTGGTTCTGTCCTTTGAATATGTAATAGAAAGTCTTAAAAATTCTTAAAATTACGATAATTTAATTTTAGTTAAGTTTTTATTCAAAAACTAACGAGTGCCTATAATTTTCAGATTCTTGATCCAATTTTCAGCATTCTACCTTTTCTATGTACACTTAATAATTATTTCCACGTATATATTTAGTTTGCTCATTGTATGTACATACATATTAGTGATGTTCGGGTATCTCGACTCCCGACACCCGACTCGGGAAATTTCCCGAGTTTTTGGCCTCCCGATCCCGATCCCGACTCCCGATGCCATTTCCCGACTAAGTCGGGAAATTTTTACACCCCTAAGAATGGCTTTTTCTGATAAAATTTTATTTTGAAAGGAAAAAAATAAAGGGAAAAAATAAAAAAGTGGAAAGGAAAAATAAAATATATAAATTTTTCTCAGAAAACTATTGTTGAGATGTGGTTGAGTGGTTAAGTTGAGCGACTTCGGTTACTTTTATGGGCTGGGTTTTAATCCAGGGTTGGTAAATGTTATTTAAATAATTTTTCCTTCCAAAAATAAATGGTTTTCAACATTGATTTTGGTTCTAAAATTTTAAAGTTATATTTTTTAATATTATAAACGTCAAAAAACTGTAAAAAAATTAATTTAGTCATTAATTTTCAAAGATTTTCGCCTGCGGCGCAAAAACTGAAAAATTCTGACTTCTTAGCCTCAAACTTAAAAAAATTTTGCCTGCGGCGCTGAGGGAGGAAAATCACTTCTTAGTCTACCAAATTTAAAAGAAAATGATGAAATCTAGCTCAGTGGCGCTTCATTTTTTAAAATTGTTTCAAAGTTACTCCCCTCCTCTTTTGGATTGGTTTTATTTAGTCTTTGTAACTGCTGCTCTCTAAGAAAATTTTCCTCAAAGCCTCCAACCCGGCTTTCCATTTCTCAAAATTTTCGCCTCCGGCGGTAAATAAAAGATGAAGTCTGGTTTTTAGCCTTCCAGACTTAAGAGAATTCCAGACTTAAGCACACAAAGGCTTTGAGATTAAGAGGGATATTAAAAGACTGCCGAGAGTGGTCATAACATCAAGGGCGCTTCTTGACTTTCCAAAATTCTCAAAATTTTCGCATGCATTGCAAAAAATTGGAATTTTTGGCGCCGAAGGCGCCAAAATTTTTTATGTTGTAAATTCCCGACTCCCGATCCCGACTCCCGAGGTCATTTCCCGACCCGACTCCCGTTTCCCGAGTTTTTTCTTCTCCCGAACATCACTAATACATATCAAAGGTGGGTCGGAATTCCAATTTGCAACTTTCGAGTTCTGACTTTTGAACCATTTCCGATTTCCGACAGTTCCGATTTCCGATTTCCGACAGTTCCGATTCCCGATTTCCGACAGTTCCGATTTCCGGCATCTTTGTCATTTCCGCCTCTGCACATATGTATTTTCTGTTATATTTTAATTTAATTTTAGATATTTATTTTAAATTTGAAACTTGATCAAAAAAATTATTTTCTTTTAAGTATATCCTTTTGATTTTTTATTCTTTCTATTTTTAGTTTTGTGTGTGAATAATCTTTTTACAACTGTTCATTTTAAAATTCTTCCCTTTCTTTCCTTTTCAAATAAATTTAAGAGAAAAAAAATCAAAATGAGGAACATGAATTTATTTATTTTGGTGACCAAAAAATCATTTCTCTCGAAATACACCTGACGAATTTTTTATTTTTTAATTTAATCGAATGTGAAATTTATTTTTTTATATTTCTCTGAATTTTGATTAAAATTCATTTAAAAAATTCGTTAAAAATGAGAAAAATAATTAAATGGGCAGAGGATTTGCCTGAAACTTTGGAACCTTCAAATGAAACTGTATTGGCCATCCTCTCGAAGAAAATGGCTAGAAATGATGCGGAAAGCTTGGCAAAAATGGTTTGGGGATTTTGGCATGTGTAAAGAAGCATTAGATTTGAGGACAATTTTTGCAGACTACCTAATATTTGCTAAGAACCATGTCATTCTTCATATTCAGAAGAAGAATAGGCACTCGGCCCTTATCCTCCACAAGTAAGGTTGTCGGATAGTTGGAAATCTTTAGATATATGGATCCGGTATTCGAGCAGAAAATTTCCGGATATTCGGTCTTTTTTCGGATCCGGACATCTGGATCCGACAACCTTATCCATACGGTGGAGGAATTCCACAAACGATACATAGTATAGTAATGATAGGTTAGTGTGTCTAAAAGTTAAGTTCGACTTTCTAAAAATTGGGTTCGACTTATAAACCCTCATTTATCTAATTAAAATGGTCTTAGAGATTGTCCGCAAAAAATTCGCAAAATACCTTTACAGGTGTCACAATTAAAAAATTTTAATTAAATATTTTAACCCCAGTTTTAGCTAACTTATTATTTCCCAACACTTTATGTGGATATTCGCCAGCAAAACAAAAGACGAAGATATGCATTAGCTTTTAGCTTAAAAAATGATTCCTAGTTACAATTTTTTTAATTTTCTAAATTAAAAATTTTTCAACCAGTTTAAATGATTCCGTTGAAAGATTAGTTAAAATTAGAAGATTATTGGAGCAGGCAAAAACTGATAAAGAGGAACAAATTCAATTTATTTTTGATAAACATCCATTTATTTTAAACATTCCAACTGGCACTTTTTTAAGTTTGTTTATTTAATTTACAGACATCTCACTCTACAATACCACTTGGGACTGTAAAACTAGTATTTTATGAAGAGGGGATTTTAACCAGAAAGAATTATTTAGGCAGCCCCACAACCCAATATGTAACCTAATTAAAAAATATGTATTATTCGGGGCAGGGCTGGATGCAATTGCAGACTGCGTGAAATTGCGTCTTTTTTGGACTTACGGATTGCGGACTGCGGTTGAGTAAATTTTTTTAAGTTTCGCCCAGCTCTGATTCGGGATATTCTATACGGAGATTCGGTTGTATGTGAATAAAAACGCTTAAAAGTTTGTCTCCAAATTCATAAGCTTAGATTTTACATATTTTAAAATATTTTCTTTAAATTTTACAGTACCATTCCTTCTCTCCAAATCAACAAGAATTATTTATTCATTAATTCCATTACATCAACCTGATCATCTTAGCCAACTTTTCCTTAATTGGGTATTTTCTTCACCTTCAGAACTTTTACATCCTCCCATTCAACAAATTTCTGGATATTTTGGTTCAGAAATTAGTTTATATTTTGCTTGGTTGGCACATTATACGAAATGTTTGATTGCTCCGGCATTGATAGGTAATTAAAGATTAATTAAATATACAGGATCGGACCTGGATTTTACATATAGGTAGGTATGTATATTTTGAGCTGAAAAAATTAAATAAATTCACATCTCCCCACTTGTGCAAAGTTTTGTGCGTCTTGTGGTTCTGGCTTAAAACCTCCAGCTCAAATCCTTTTTAAAATATTGGCTATGGTTCAGACGTCATACCCAGACTGTTCCCCACCAATTGTCAATTAATATCTAAAAATGTCTTTGACCTACCTATTCATTATTGGGTTTATGTTCAATCGAGCTAAATTACTTTTTAAACCTCTAGTTTAAGTCCTAGTAAAATACTGGATTTTTAAGTGATTTATTTTAAAAATCGCTCATTCTCGAAATTAATAGTTTATGGTTTTAAAATTTTTCAAAGTCAGTTCTATTTTAAAATTCAATATATTTTATAATTAAAGGAACTCTAATTTATCTACAAACATCCTCAACAACAACTAAAAATTTTGAATTTTCCGCCTTCATAATATTCGCAATTTTTAATTGTTTATGGGCTATTGGATTCCTCTACAGTTGGAAAATTCAAAAACAAAACTTAATTCAAAATAAAATGCCTCTAGACTGTCAAAATAATTTTAAATTTCGACAAAATTTACTAAAAAATATTTGCCGACCTTTGGAAATTTTTTCTTTAATTTCCTTATTAATAACACTAATAATTTTATTGAGACTACAAGATTGGTCTAGAGAAAATTTTGGAAGTTCTAATTGGAAAAGTTTAGCCCCAGTTGTTTTACAAGCTTTAATTTGTATGGGTGCCGAACATGTTTATAGACGTTGTGCTGAAACTGAATGGATTATAGGGAAGAGGAAAAACGATTTTTTGTTGGTCGCGAGATTGGCTTTATTCCAATCTATCAGTTCTTTTTGCCCTTTATTCTATATAGCGTTTTGGCTTGGCGATTGGAAACGATTACAACAAGTATGGCCAAACCTCTCTATAAGATACGCTCAATACTAGAGACAAAAATGTTTTAAATTAGGTAGATACTACGGGTGGGTGAAGGAGGGCTAGTAAAGAGATACCCTCTATTTAAAGTACACTCCTGGATATAGACCAGGTGCGTATCTTAATAGTCCATAGGATGTGTCTCATGGTGAGATTCAAAAATAATTTTAATATTTCTAGAGTTTAGCTACTTTACTCGTTACACGCCAATTTGTTCAAAATTTTACTGAAATTGGAATTCCTCTAATTTATGGCGAATTACGTTTAATGCAATATGCCTTTATTCGAAATTTGGAGGCAAAGCGTAAAGTTAGTCATTGGAGGGCACATCAAGCAGCTAATAATTTTGACGAAGAAAATCCTAGTGAAGAGGAACGTCAGGCAGCATTATCAGAATATGGACGGCCTTTGGATGATTATTTGGAAATGTTTATTCAATTAGGTTAAATCACTATAGGATAGACTCTTGAGGCTTAAAAAGCTTATCTTATAATGAGGGGTCTATTAAATTGAGGGTAACTCTTAAACAGCTCCCATCATTCAATAGCCATACAAGATTTAAGAAAAGCATCTTAAGTTATATTTTAGTATTTGTGGTAGCTTATAGTGAGATCCAACTTTATAAAACTATTCATTAATTCTTGGAGCTACTGACAGGTGCAGAGCAGAAGTCGATCGGAATTATGATTTCCGAGTTCCGACTTTTGAGCCATTTCCAATTTTCGACAGTTCCGATTTCAGACACCATCGCCATTTCAGACTGCCCCCTGCAGATTTCGATTTACAAAATTAAAGCAGATTCAAAGTTAAAATATAATGTTGTCCGCAAATTTTTGCGGACAATATAGTGTTGTCCGCAAAATTAGATTGCAGTTTTTGTGCATTTATTAGGGCCAAATTTTAATAATTTTAAGAGTTTTAAAAAATATTCTTTATAAAATTAAAGGTTATGTACTCCTTTTTTCACCCGCTTTTCCGCTCGCACCGCTCTGTGCCTTCCTCAACAATTTATTAGAAGCTAGAGTGGATGCCTTCAAATTATGCGCACTCCATCGGCGGCCTTGGCCAACAGATGATGTTGGGGGTTGGGATGGAGTGATAAAAGTAATTTTTTAAACGGACCAAGAGATAATTTTTTAATTTTGAAGATCATGTTAATTGCAAGTGTTTGGGTTAACTTGGGACTTATTTTGTTGCGATGCTTAACTACCGGATGAAAAATTAAATTTCATTTTTTTAAATTTTATTTTAAATTTTCTAAAGATTACCAGTGATTTTATATTAATTAAAATAATTTTGTGATATTAAATATCGGTGTCCGGCATCAAACCGGATTTCGCCAAATATTTTTAAAGTTCGAGTTCGCGATCTCCGAGCCCAAATTTACCCGTAATTTTTCAGCCTATGATATCCCTCCCAATCTTCCAAATCAACTGTACTTGTTATCCAGTTCATCCAGGAATCGGGCAAATTCTGCCGAACTCCAGAAATTATTTTTAACAGATTAAAACAAGATAGAATTAAATCCGCCAGCTCCGGGCCGGCATGAAAGTGAAAATTCAGAATCCGGTTTCTGGACCCGGAAAAGTGATTTAGCCTCTCACTAATAATTAATTATATCGTTTGTTGATTAAAATTTAAATATAATAATAAATTTTGTCTTTAATTATCACAAATATTTTTTTAGAAATTCCCATCTTCATTCACAATATAGTCCTTCTTTACAATATGGAGATATATTTGGATATTTTTTAGGTTCCGGACCTCCCAAATCACCAACATAGCGTTCTTGTATTGAAGGGTCTAAACCACAAGGACGTCTAAATTCTTGTCCTCTTTCGTGTATAAAACTATTCATAGCCCATTTATCACCTAGCAAAACTGGACAGGCTGCATGCCTAAATGGATCATAAATAAAATTATTTAAATATAGGTATCTATAAAAAAACATTGTTCTCAAATCGCCATCTCCACTTCTCCACAAATTATACCAAAAAATGGCATCATATTTTGTCGGTTTAGCAATTGTTTTTAAATCAGTAAAAACTGTATATCCTCCCTTTTCTGGGGTACTTAAATAAAATAAAGCTGTCGCAATTCTGTATTCGTTTAAAGTTCCAGAATCCTACGAAATATATTTTTGAATTAAAATTATTAATACTTGTGGTAATCCTTACGAATATTGGTCCACCGGTAAATGTCTATCTTGACTTACTAATACGGAATTTTTTACTAATACGGAACAAATGTGTGCTGTCCGTGGGACTTCGAAATGAAATTATGTAGACAGCATGGATGGGTCGTTTAACCGGAAACCCGAGAGCCGAAACCTGGTCTTTTTTTCGACCCGAAATCCGATCCGAGAATTTTTCTTTTCAAAAACTACTTTTATTGTGAAAATACTTATATTATTGGTTAGTAGTAGTGTTGCCCCGACCCCGTTCCCGAAATAATTATCCACATTATCCCCGACCCGAATCCCGCCCCGAAACAATTCGAAAACCCCGAACCCCGATACACCTGCCACCGAGCGTTCGGGGCGCAACAATACATATTTTATTTGAGTTTTAAAACTTTTAGTCATGTTTTAGCCATTTCAATATAATTTTAATTATTTTATTTCAAACTCATACAATATCATAATGGTGTTCACAATGTCCGCCAATTCCATAATTTGCTACCTTTACAAAAAAATTTTAATTTTTTAAAAATTATTATTTTACTTGTAAAGGTTCAGCTGACTTCATATTTAAATTAGTCATTAATTCTACACGATTAACTATTTGTTTAACAACAGGATGGATGTTTGTGTAAAGCCAAGCACTCAAAAATTAAAAATAAAATTAAAATAAATTATCTAAAAAAACATTTTGCTGATTCTAAAGTTGGAAATTTTGCCTTCAAACATAGATCTATGTAATTCTCTTAACGATATATTCTGCATTATTTCAATTTCTCCATCACCAATAACATTTCGAAATATAACAGCTAAAGGGTCGAATCGAACTATTTCAACTTTAATTGGGGCTAAACGAAGGAAAGGACGATCCATTTTGTAATAACAATAAAGCTGGGATATTTCTGTTGTATTCTAAAAATTAATTGAGATTATTAATGTCCGGGAAAATTGATATTTTATCCTGACCCAGATTCCGGATTTTTGTAACTTGAGCGGGACAAGATCCAGCCGGATTTCTCAACCGGACCAGCCCAACCGGATTTCTCAGCCGGATAGCTCCAGCCGGATTTTTCGGAATACTCCGGCCCGGAAAATCCGGCTTGAAGATCGCAAAAAAGGGTCTTCATAAACTTGAATCCCAAAAAAAGAAATTTTGGATCCGGACTCCGGACAACTCCGGCGCCTGAATTATCTTAATTAATTTTAATTGACAATAAACAAACAATTTCTTTTTCACCACGACAAAGTTCTTCATAAACTTGATGATCATAAAAATCTCTGATAGGATCGTTTGATATCCTATAATTAATTAATGGAGGTATATTTGAACGAAAATCTTCTTGATTAACTCCATTATCTAATAATTCTTGTTCATATAATTTTGAATTATTTGTTGCATTTGGATATAAAGGATCTTTTTTAAGTGAAAATATTTTTTAAAAATTTTAATTTAATTTACCTAATTCAATTAATTTATCATTAATAATTAAAGCTCTCTTTAAATTTCCTTGTTTATATAAAGAAATTGACAAAATATTTAAAATATCAGAATGGTTAACTTCTGTAAATTCTTTTTCGAGTAAATGATAACGTTCATTTGCTTCTTCCATCCATAATATTGAGTGATAATAATCCTTTTTTAAATTAAATACATTAAGATTAAAGCCTGTAGCATAAGAAATTACCATAAATCAGCTGTTTTACCGGTAATATATGACTTTATACCATGACCTTTTAGTTATTTGACCATACTATGTACAACGATAATTCCCTTATAAATCCCATTATATCTACCTTATTCATCCTACTAACCTTAATCCCTCCAAATATACTCCGATATTTCCTCAACCACTATTGATCCCTCTATATCATGCCCAAATTCCTCGACATCTCCTTTAGGTTGTAAACATAGTTCTTTCCTTTAAAGCCAAGAAAGAAGGCCAAGAAGCCAGATTCATCCTTTTTAGAAACCGAACCAAGATGTCGAGTAGACGGTATTTTTCGGTTCCGGATACCCGGAACCGCCAACCTTAACTTTGGCCAACCGAATTTTAAAATAGGTAATCTTAAGTTGAGAGATCCGACTGTAATTAATTAATATTTTAATTATAAAATAACCTCTTTATTATATGCAGCAAGACCTATATCATAACAATCTTTTACTAAAATAATTATATAATTATTTTATATAATTTACTAATCAAATAAACCATCCATTTGTTTGTTTATATTAATATCCTGAACAATTCCATTAGCTAAATCTTTCGTTTTTAAATTGTACGTATCTTGTAAGCGTAATAATCCTTCAAATGCTCCATTTAGATCATCCTTTTTTAAATAAAAATATTATTGGGTTTATGATTATGGACATCAATAAAAGAAAGAAGGAGGAGGTAGTTAGTGATTAATCTAGTTATGGCTTTTGACACGAATTTTGGTGTCCATATTCGGATATATCCGTGAGGTCCGTAAACTCCGAGTTTTAAAAAATCAGTATCCATATCCGTCAGTGTCCGAATATATTCGCGGGTATCCGGATTTTATCAGTATCCGTTAATTAAAAAATAAAAATCCCCACCTTAGTAGGAAAACGAGTTTCTCTTTGATTTGAAATATTTTCTAAATAATTTTCGGCCAAATCTGATTGAATTTCTTTTTTAATTTCTTTCCAAGTTTTTGTTAATTTTTTGATTACTCTAAGAGCAATTAAAGGATTTAAAACACTTCTTGGTTCCAATTCAAATAATTCACTTTTTTCTTTTAAATATTTATTTGCTATGCTAAAAATTATTTATTAACTAATTTAAAATAATTTTTTAAACATTTTTTATAAAATAATTATAGAAGAAGTTTGCTGAATTCATACCCAGTGTCGAGCCCAGAATAATGGGATATACAGGAAATACTAATTAATTATTTTGTTAGTCCGGCCGGACAATATTCACCGCTCAATTTTGCGATTAAGCAGGCGACTACAAATCAGGCATGGTACGGGTCGAGAAAAAGTTTGGGTTCTTGGGTTGGGTTCGGGGGACGGGAGCTAGACTAATGAATCTCTCCTCTTAACTAGAGCTCTATTAATATCTCCTCTACAAATTTAAATATTAATTTAATTAAAAACTACCATTTTAAATTTTCCAAACGTTTATTTTCTAATGAAATATAATTTTCTATAATTTTTGGAATTTCTTTTTCTACATGTACTAATTGTTGTAATTCTGCAGAAGATGTAAATAAATCTTGGGAATTAATTAATTTAATTAAAATAAATAAATTTATTAAATAAAAATACATTTTTGTTAATTTTTGTTAAATTTTATGAATAAAAATTTAATATAGACTTTTATTCATAACTTTATTTTATGTTGGCATTAAATCGAAGGCTTCTTTTTTAAATCTAACTTTATCTTTATTACCTGACTCTCGCCCAATACTCACATTTATTAAATATATTTAATTCCATAAAATATAAAGTTTGGATAGCTTTTCTCTTTTTAAAATTCGATAATTTTTTTTTGAATTAACTGAAAAAAAGTTAACAAATTTTTTATTAATCTGGGGATATAAAGAGATTTACAGGGATTAAGTGCGGTCTAAAGGGATGTAAATAATTTGAAGGGATAAGTATTCTGATTATGATAATCAAGTGCCGTTCAAATGAAGTATATATTAGCTATAATCCCTGATATCCCCGAATCAAACAAACTGCTAGAAACCTAAAGATACACACCTTAAATTTTCCACATTTAACTTATCCGAAGATTGATTGTAAAAATAACTAAATATCCCCCATTAATTCTTTCAAACCTTTGATATCTTCTCCAAATCCTCTTGATCTTTCAATATCCCTCAATCCTCAGTTTTTTTAATTCCAGATTTGCTCAAAAATATTATGATTAACCCTACTAAGAGCAAAAGTTATCTAGATATGTTTAAAGGAAATAATTAAATTTGATTCAGTTAGTTTGTGATTAAGAGGGCAATTAGTTGAACTGATCATTCAAATGAACTTGTTTTGTAGAGATTGTAACTACTGTATGAAATTTAACTTATTAATTTTTCTTGAAATTTTATCCAAAATTTTCTAAAGTCTAACAGCATTTTTCAATAATTAAAATAATTCAGTACATATTAATATTAGTGTCAGGCTCGGGACCGTAGCTCACCGAATTTTATGAAGTTCGGGGTTGATTTTCTATTTGGAGCAGGAAAAATTCGCAATATTAGTGTTAGTTCATGTAGAGTTGCACGAGGTCAAGTTTTTTCTAAAAACCAAGACCGAGGTTACGAGGCCCGAGGTCGATCAACCCGAGACCAAGATTTCAAATGGGCGAGAACCTCAACCTCGTGCAACTCTAATTTCATGATAGGTTGATTACAAAAAATTTTTCCTGTCAAGATCCAGAAAAATAATTTTGCCGGACACTATTAATTTGCGTTCTAGAGATCGGACTGAGAGGGTTTTGTACGGGTTGTCGTATGAAATCTCTCGAAAAATTTTTGTTCAAGATCTCTTCTCGGCCCGGTCGCTCATTCTTTCTACAATATATTACACATTTTTATATTTCAAAAATCATCATTTTCTTCATTTAATTAATTCTTTTCAAATTTTCGGAGCATAAAAAACAATTAAAGCAGATATTTCTTCCAACAATTTTTTATCCAGAACACTCTCCAAATCATCAAAAATAAATTGTTTGTTCGTAAATATCTTCAAATCTTCATTTCCGTTTTTAAAATTTATTCTTCGTGCCCAATTCTCATTCAAAAAATTATTGGGAAATAAGGAAAATAATTCCATTTCAATAACCTCTACCAAATATTTGTTTATAATTTTGGATTTTATTTGTTTTTTAATTTGATTATTATTGTAAAGTTGAGCTTCTTCATTTGCAGAATTAATTATCGTTTCGAGATAGGCTAATATTTTTGACATTTGTTGTAAACGGGAATGGAGAGATTTTGATTTTTGACGAATCTTTTAAATTTTTAAAATTGTTAGAAATGATTTTTTCAATGTATTTCAGTTTATCTATAATTTAGTACCAGATTGATAAGCCAGAAAAACAAGAAACCCCGAAGAAATGGTCTTATTCACTAACCCTTCACCCAAATTTAACTAAAAGGTTATCAACTGAGGGGTATTTGTGTTAGCTTTTCTAGCTCAGATATTAACATAAATAAGTGGGAAATGGGATTTGATACAACTCGGCGAGCTGAATCTGACAATATCAGGGCGGCCCGGATTCGACAATCTAGAGTGAAGTTGAGCTCGCGGTACGTTGGGGTGTATCCGAGAGAAATAAACTTGGATAACTTTATATCTTAACCTTTTCCAATTCTTCCCATTCTGAATTATTCAAAGCCAGTTTAGCCTCCAAAATTAATTTTAATAAAATCATTCTTGTATAAAACAAATTTATTTGATTAATTAAATCTTTTCGAATTTTATTTTTACGATTCTGTTTATTTACTAACATTTCTTTATTTTTATTAAACTCTTGATTAATTGAATTTATAGTGTCTTCAAGATTCTAAAAAATTAGAAAATTAAATTTTAAAAATTAAACAGTAGCAGTTTTGATTATCTGCTAAGGTTGATGGATCAAGCTATCAGGATCGGAATAAGTCTGGATTTCCAGAAATTTTCAGTTCGGACTTGAGATCCGGATGTCCCAGGTCGTAAGGCGCGCAACGTATTAACAGAGTTGAGCGGGATCGGAATCCCGGTCTAGATTGGCCGGGATAATCCTGGTTTTTTGAATCCCGGTCCCGATTTTTCTGTTCCCGAGACCGAAAGATATATCACGATCCCAATTTTAGATCAAGATCACGATCCCGTTCAACCCTAATTATTACTAAAAATTATTTTTCCTTTAATTAATTTTATACCTTATCCAAATAAATTAATAAATTATTAATAGATTCAATTATTTCTTCAATTATTTCATCATCTTTGTAAAAAATATCAGAAAAATTATTTTTAACAAAAATATCAGCAAAATTTGAATTAAAATTTAAAAATAATTTTTGAGGCAAATGTTTAGACAAGTTTATTTCCATTTGTTTGTCAGCAGCTTTTGCAGTTTCGCTTAATTCTTCGGGGTGAATTACTAAATTAATATTTTTATTAAAAATTTCATTAGTGCTGTCAGGCCTCATTAATAGATAATCAATTGGGACTGGGGGTCTGCGTGGGGGTCCCCCCACCCCCTACTCACTGGGGGACTACGTGTAAATATGTGTTGAAAAGTGTACTAATGATAGGTCGAGTTGAGAAAAAAGCTGGAGCTAGGGCCGAAATAGACTTTCACAATTTTATTCGGGTCGGGGTCCGAGTTGAAAAAAGTCCCTGTTTCGAGTCCTCTCAATTTTAAGAATTATAAAATAACCTTCAATTCTTCCTTTTCCTAACATTTCTCTAATTTTATTCCATTCATTTAAAAATGCCTTAAATAATTTTTCAGAAACATTTTTTCCATTTATTTCTGAAAGTTTTGGAATTGGTAATTTATCATAAAAATGAGATCCATAAATTGTTCGTGCAGAACAGAGTTGCGTCGTAATTGAAAAATTTTTTTCGTAATCGTAATTCGTAATTCGTAATTTTCAAAAAAATTTCGGAATCGTAATTCGTAATTCGTAATTTTTAAAAAATTTTCGTAATCGTAATTCGTAATTCGTAATT